TGGCCATCAATCCCGTATGCACGAAGGCATGACCCACAGACTGCTGCGTGGGACCGGGACATAGGCATTTTCTACATCAACAAACACATGTATACCGTGCGGGCGTACTTCCATGATTTCTCAACAATCTGGCGCCGAGCAAATATATCGTCAAAGGTGCTTCGACCGGACCGGAAGCCACACTGCTCTTCTTGTATCTTGGAGTCAGATAATCCGTGGCACCACCTTTCTAGCACCTTTGCCTAGGCTTTACCTGGGAGGCTCAATATGCCTTTAAAATTGGAGCACTCTTTGTGGTCTCCCTTCTTGAATAAGGGCACAACAACTCCCGTTCTTCAATCCGCTGGACTCTTCCCCGTAATCATTACAGTTTGACAGACACGTGTAAGCCAGCATATTCCTTGTTCGCCTAGTGCCTTCAGCATTTCAGGACGGATTTTGTCAATTCCAACCGCCTTTCCATTTTTCAAGCTTTTCACACCTTGTTTAAATTCATCTACAGAGATAGTTATATCCGTACCCTGCTGCTCTACAAGCGAGTCTTCCTGCGGTTGTTCCGGGTCATGGATTTTCTCAACGTACTCAATCCATCGCCGAAGAATGTCCTAATCCTTGGTAAGAGGGTGTCTAGACCTGTCCTTCAGGACTCTTAAATTCCCCTTCTTTCACCTCAAAGCCGACGGATGGTCTACCAGAATACTTTGTTTGCGATGTGGAAATTCGACTCCAACACCTCACCCAACTTCTCCCTAGAATCGGCTTTCGCTGCCGCCTTGCGTAATTAAATCCGCTGTTACTTGCTGAATAGCACTATGAAAGGATAAAGTTGAACGATGACACCGCAATATCGTATCTCTGTACATAGAAAACGAAAAGTTGTACGCGAGATCGGTGAAAGAGCTGAAAAATCTTGTCCACTCTTTTCAGAAGATATAGCGAGCGAATTCAATTGCCATAAATATACTGTGGTTGAGAAAAAGTCGGTAAAGCTCTGGAACAGCGACGGAATGACGCTACTGATTGGTAAGATAAACAGCTTGGAAGGACAGACGAACAAATGCCTCGGCGTGCAAAACACTGGCAACGAATTACATAAAAATGAAATTAACGATGAAGATGGAACATGAGAAAAGAATCCGCTGAATCCTGAACAGCAGGTTCTACTGGAAGAAAAAAAATTTAGCCATTAATCAGTAGACGGTACAATTGCTCGCTTATACAGGAGGCATCGTCGAGTGGACGAAGGTGAAAAGGTCATAAATGGAGAGAAAGTCGATAAAGATCTCGTACATGTACGGCGTGATGCATCCAAAAACAGATACGGATAGACTACATGCTCCGCAGAGAGGAGGAAAAGGGTTTCGAAACGACAGGGTGGCAACGGCTCTAAAGTTAGCCGCCTGTGCAAATTAGAACAG